ATAGTTCTTATTCTGCTTCTATTCTGCTTGTGGGATCCTTAGACATCATTAGGGGAAGCTTTTATATGCCTTGAAGAGTGCTGTTTCTTCATTACATGAGCATTTGCAGCACTCTCTACTGAGGACCTTTATTCAGAGCTTTCAGCTGAATCCCATAGAAGTAAATGGGAGTTTTGTCTGAAGAAGAAAGTAAAAAATGCTAAACAGACTGTTAACTTATGTTGGGATTTGGGGACATTTTTGTTGTTGTTGTTGTTTTTCTGAGGTAGCTAAATCTAGTTCCTTATGTCCTTTCTTGAGATATTTAAATAAATCATTGAAATATTACATTTTCTCAGTGATGATTTCTATTATGTTTTCCTTTTTGTTTCACTAGCGTACTTCAGATGTGCCTCATTCAACATAAGAGGTTATGCTTTTTGGATGCTACATTTGCTTAGCCACAGGCCAAAATAAATATTACCACTCCTGAAACCTTAAAGTCCTACTTATAATGAGTATGGCACTCACCAGCAAGCAAAACAACACACAGACTAATTAAAAATTATTGAAGAGTAATACTGAAAACTAAGTCTGAGAAGTAGGTTTTCTAGGTATTCATTCACAGAGCTAGATAACAATCAAGGTTAAGAACAAGTGATTGCACTTCCTATTTGTTACAAACCTTTGTTACAAAGCCATAAATATTCCAGCTTGCTGTGAAACAGTTTCAGCAAAGACAACCGTGCCTCAAGGACAGAAAATACTTAGTGCAATGCCATTTTCCACAAGATATATATGATTGTAATGGTATATAATGCAAACAGATTTGCATGGCTGTTCACTAATAATCCTTGAGCATCTTCAGTCTCTTCAGAGATGATTACCTCATTGTTCTAAAAATTTCTGAGTCTTTGTAAGCCTGTTTCAGTGCAATAAGGAGAAGCTGTATAAATGTCATGGCCTCTGCCCCCACAACTAAAATAAAAAAGGATGAAGCTGGCAAGAATTTTGTAATAAGATATATTAACAATTGAAATATGTCCTCTCCATTGTATCAGCAGGTGATGATGGAAAAATTGATGTACATACACATAGAATAAAAGCTGTCCTCAAAACTTTAAAAAAAAGCCTTTCTTTTATTTTATTTGGTAGAAAGCTTTAAATTATACATATAAAAATAAACTATACCCAGCTGAACTATTATTAGGCTGTAATTTTAACCTATCAATTCCTAAAGCCATGCTGTGCAGGAATCCTCTCTCATGGTTTACAACCTCAGAGGCATCCCTCTGGTACTTACTTAAAGGTTATTTTTTATTCTCTATTTAGAACCGATTCAAACCCAGAGCTTTTTTCAAGGTTCTACGTGCCATTCCAAACACAAAAAAATACACAGGAGTATCATTACAGATCTGAAGTTGCAGTTATTCCCAGATGAAAATATAAATAATAAAGAAGATTCAGTGCAAGACGTATGAATGTGACTGAGAGACTTAAAACTTAAAATGATCCATTTTGTAAGATATCTACATCTGTAAAACAGTTGGAGCCTCTAAAGGATCTAGAACAGGAGGATAAGTTTTATCCATCCAAAAAGCTGGGTATCTTTCCCTTAGGTGTTTATTTCTAGGCCCTAGATCTTGCAGAAGATTTGATCATGTGGGAAAGTTTTGATGTACCATTCACAGTTGAAAGGGAGAGGAGAGAAGAGTGATGTCCCATGTGTGAATTAGACCTTTTGTAGACAATGGGTCGATCTGTACCTATTTCTTAAATCCATTATCTAGGAACTTTCCTTTTTTCCCCCTCTTTACCAATGCTGTTGGGCTGAAAACCAGCTGAAGTGGAAGGAATATACTCTACTGGGTATTTCAAGGCAGATCATATCACCAGAACAAATAATACCTCTGAAGAACAAATAAAAATTTTAACTGCATCCAAATATAAGCAAACCATATGGTTGGTTGGGAAACACTCTGGATCACACAGCCCTAGACTTCAGAAAAAAATCAGTTCCAGGTTTAGATACTGGTTTTGGCCCATCTTTATTCCAGCGAGCACTTACTAGTGTTCTTAAGCTTTTATACCCACTAAAACATAGTGCTCAAACAGCTGCTCCTCCTCTCTCCCTTCCTTCCTACTCCCTTTCACTTCCCCAGACACGACAAGCGCCCCAACATTTCCAAGTTTAGGAATGCAGGTGGCTGAAACAAGCAGGTGGAAAGAGGGTGGATTGGGTTGAGTATAAATGTACAACAGGTGCTGGGTTTGTTATATACATTAGTTCACTTAGCAATACAGAAAGCATTTTAACCAAATAAAAGATAATATATGCAAGTTCTTTCATTTACTATGTTTTTGCCAAGCTTTTAATGAGATTGGGCCTGTCTGAAGGTATAAAACCCACAAAGTGTAACGTTTTACCTGCAGAAAATTACTTTCCACCCTCAGGAAATGAAATTCTGATCCTTTTGAAGTCAGCATCTTTTGAAGAAACAGAATACATGGGGATGAAATATCCCATTCTCTACTATTTTTTGTACTTTGGGGGTGATTTGAGAGAAAATACAGGTAAAGAAGTATCTTTGCCTCATTTACTCTTCCTATAATTGTGTGTAACTTTCTGCATCATGACATATCAGTAACTCACAAAGGATCAGAGAATTACACCTGTAATTTACAGTTGGGCTAAACTCCCTTTAATCAGGAACGGCAATTAAATATCTGAGTCAAGAAGAAAATGTGATCTCTTTCACACATGAGATTCTCCTTGATGGTCAGTTCACACCACTGTGAGCATAACTCAGCATGGACAGCAATATTCAGATTCAGTTGAAGCTTATTACTCTAACAAAATATTTTGTTACCGCTGCTAATCTTTTATCCCACAAATTGGCAGCCTTCTGGGAATGCCTTAGAAAGTAGGAGTTTTGGGTTGAGATGTTGGTTTGAGCCCATTACCAACTGCCACTTTATGTGTGACACTTACAGTGTCACTAAAACCCTATAAATATGTCAATCTTAGGAAAACATATTTTTCCTATTGATTTTGACTGTGTATAAGTGTTCAATCATAACATTCCTACCAGAAGCACAAAGTTAAAAAGCACTGCTGTAGCCAAACAGCAATCTATTCTGGCACCTCCATTTGCACTTTAATTTAATGAAAGACACTTTGGTTTACAATTATTATGCTGTGGTATAAGAACCCTGAAAGGAATCCAGCTAAGTAACAGCGAGCTAAATGGAACAAAAAATATTTGTTTACCCTTGAGATGGTAATCTTTTGTATTCATGAAATCACTAATTAGTGTCTCTCATAGAGGTGAAATTGCATTGCAGAATTACTGAGGGGGCAAAAAGAGGTAATTCTCTTTTAAAACATATATACCATTATTGTTGTGGGCATCAGAAGGTATATGCTCATTACTGTCTAGATTAAAAGTTTCTAACATACCCAGCATACTCCAAATTTCCATCATACTACCCTGATTCTAATAACGCTAAGACAATGAGTAAAACAGAACACAACCTTTCAACTGGGGCATGTTAACAAAGTGCTGATGGCTTAAATGTATCCAATGATAAATTACCTTTGAAAGGTCCCCAGCCTCCAAATAGAAGCAGATAACAAACACATTCCATGTAACCCAAAGGACCAGCCAGACAGCATACTGGAGGGAGGAAGAGAGAAACAGTGCATTATTAATTTCACTATCAACTGAGTTAACTTAGTTCATTAGACAATTAGTTCAATCCAAGACAAAACCAGACTATAAATATGGTGCATATGAATAAAAATGTTACATATAAAAGAGAATCAAGAATAAATTCTTCCCTTTCACAGACACAATCTAGAGTGACCTAGTGAGTACTCAGTCACACCAGAAAATCTGTATCTGAGAGAACAGTTGATAGGTCTGACATCTGAATTTGAAACAAATCTGGATCTCTTATTATTGTTCTAATGGGGAATATTGCAATATCAAGAGAGGCATGCAATATCAATTATATGTGAGAAGTGCAGAGCTGATTTTTCAAATGGTTATTCAAGTATAACTTACTAAATAACAAAGTCTAATTGAAGTAGGCACTGGATTCTGCAACAGTTTGGATTTAGTCTCAAGAAATTAAACCTATATATATAACCTCAAGAAAATAAACATATATATATATAGAGAGAGAGGTTATTTTGCAGCATTTCTACAAAATATAGATGGATTTGGTCATGACAGCTGCCTCTATCAATATATTTTGTGACATTCCAAAGTATGGTTCATAATTATTCAACACCCTCAGAGGCAGACTGTGTTTAAATTGGCAATTTCTTTGGGTTTTGTTTTTGGTTTGGTTTTGTTTTGTTTTATAGTGTATAGGAGGAGTACTCATGCTTAAGCAAGAACTGTTCATTGGTGGTTGCCAAGCTTCTTATTCACATATCTCATGTGAGTAATGGAGTACCTGTTTTCTCTCCCGGCCACTACTTTGCTTTTTTTTTGTATTTATAAGACCTTATGTGCTTGGACTGGAAACTGCATTTCCCTGCCCTAATGCTGGAGGATCTTGTGTAATAAAGTTTGACCTGCTGTTGCTACTCTTATCTAAAAGTTTGTGCTTGAGAACTTCCCTTGACAAATTATTCCATCATCTAATAAACCTTAGGATCTACAAATATTTTTCTAATGGCTGTCGTAGCTATCGTCTAGTTGTTCACAACTCAATTCTGCACGTTTGCTAATTTCATTCCACAGACCCATGGCACTGCATATGTGTGAAATATGGCAGAGACACAACACTATTCCCTACCTGTTATAGCTGAGGGCTATTTCCTCCTTTTATATCACCAACCCATTTCTCTCAAGTATTTACAGACTTACTCTTCTTGTTTTGTTGTCTTTTCTCCAAACTATACTGATTACATTTTGTTAAACTACTTTTCCAAATCAGGAAAACCTGCTTTCTGCACACCTCTGTATTAAATCACCTTCCAAATAAGCAGACAATATTTTAGACCATATGCTATCTAGCCCTTACAAAAAATATATGACAAACCATTGTTTGTCATGAATGAAAATCTCATTCTGTAAATTCAGTAACAAACTATGTAGGATTCTTCCTGCATTTCTCTTGGAAGTGCTGTTTTGCATCAGATTATCTATCATTCAACATGCCATTTTCTACTTAACTTTCTAAATACTGTGAAATACTACAATTCTGTCCTTTCTCAGGAGATCTAAAGTGAGACTACATCCAACATAAGTAAAATTTAGGCCTGTTCCTATTTCTTATTTTTATAGATAACTAAATAATTGCCAGCTAGCCTAGCTATTAGGTAGACCACATACAGATTTTGAAGAATTATGATAAATATTGATCTAATGAAAGCTAACACAGTTTTAAAGTTTCGAATTGCTTTAGACAGAAGTAATTTTAAGTAATTTAAAGCATACAGATTACATATACTTTGTAGGTCAGCTCTTTCTGGTCCATAGATCTGGTCACAGATCATAGATTTATTTAGGTCAGGAGGGACCCTCTGGAGGTCACCTGGTCCAATCTCTGCTCAAAGCACGACCAGCATAAATCAAGCTGTGCAGGGATTTGTCCACTTGAGGTCTGGATATCTCCAGGGATGGAGATTTCATGGCCTCTCTAATGCACATCTTCTCTTTGAGTGTAGGCTGCTCATAAAACTGCAACATAGGAACTTAATTCAGATGCATGGTCTTAACACACTCATATTTTTTTTTAAATCCAACTCTGAGACGTTAAGTATATTGAGCATTTCATTTTCCTGAAGCTTGCTCATGGTACACCTGGCTTCGCACGTGACATTGACCATTATAACTACCAGAACAAGAGAAGAAAACATTAATTTAGATTCAATAACCTTAATCTGGCATTTTTTTCTACTTTGCAGCATCTTAACTTGCTGGTTTTCACCAATTATTTTAATACTTTAATGTTACATACAAGTATACATATACTCTGATGGAGTTAATACAAGTATTCCTTCTGACACAAAAAGATAATTGGTTTTCTTACAGTGAAAATTCTAAATACTGCATTGAGACTGATTTCCCAAAGAAATGAGACTTAAGCAGTAATATCCATGTGCAATATCTGTTCCCTTAAAATAACTTCTGTGCTCCTAAACAATTTTAAGCAAACTGGACAAAAGACTAGAAGATTCAAAGATATTTTTTCACAAAAGTTTCAGGAAAATAGGCCTACATATGGGAAGAGATTATTAAGTTGTCATACAAAGAAAGACTTACTCATCTTTTATCAGTCAACACAAAGGGGAAAAAATGTGGGAGAACGCCACTGGAAACTAGGTTTTGTTAGGTCAGCTGTTCATGGCACAACATGTCACACTGCACACAAGCAACAGCTGATTAAAAAGCTCCCTGTGCCCAGCACATCCAGCAGAATGCTCCAATGCACTTTGGAGCTGCCTGTCCCAGCAGAGAGCTTACATGAAGAAGTGAAACTTCTTTTCCACTGTGTAGTCTATCACCAAAAAAATGACAAATTTATCTGACTTTTAGCTTCACTCTTTTAACAAGCATCTGCTGTTACTGGACTACAGATAAGGTTTAAAAATGTCTTTTAAAAGTATGTGTTAAACTGCTTCCTTTTGAAATGTTGTATTAAGTGTTTGCTGCCTGAATTCTGTGGATAAACACTGAGTATAATTGTCTTGAAATACAAGGATACTTCTGCTTCCCACTGCTTCTTATTTCAGATGCTTCAGATCTAGCACATCTCTTATCTCTGGATCACATGCAGTCATAAATGACTCTTGTTGTCTACGTGCTTCAGCAAATTGTTGCGGAAATTCAGCTCTGAAGGTCTGTGACAATGAACAAATCCCTCTGGTACTCTCTATTATATGTATCTAATTAGAAACACATTTTATAAGAGTTCTTCAAAGGGCTATAGCTGTATTTTTTTGTCATATGTGGGAGTTCAAGACAGCTGCATTATCTGACAGAAGCCACCACAATGCTACAGCAGTCACATATCAACAAGACAAGAACCTTGATGAACACACACTTGACCAAGCAGGAGATACTGACAGGAGGCATAGCAGTGACAACACAGCTTATTATTTTTATGGAAATCCACACTGGAAAGCGGTAGAACTGGAAGGCTAAGACTGAAAATTTAAATGCTTACTGTTTTGCAAAGTTGTAGTCAATCAGTAAAAGCTAGGGGGGGGGTTGTAAAATAATTTATATAAATACAGCTCTTATATGGTAGAATACACTTACCCTTCTTCAAGTAAACATGAATTTATAACTGTCCACAAAGAATTATGAGAAGAATTACCTACTTTATGATTTATTGATACTGTTTAGTTACAGGTTTGAAAATTTGCTATGAATCATCACAAATTAATATAGGATGTCTTTTTTCTTGGGGAATGGGAAACTGAAATATTAAAATTCTTGTAAAAGAACTAAGAATCCATACATCCTTCTTCACACTTCTCTCAAAGTTGGCTAAGTCGCATTATCTCCGTTTTACTAACAGGGAAACTGAAGGTCAAAGAAATTAAATTACTAGACTTAATTCCACAGCCCAACAGAAAAACGATCACAAGGGCACAAGAAAGAACCAAAGGTCCAGGTAGCCCACTACTGCCTTTGATCTAAACCTGGTCACCAGAACTCACACCTATTACTTTGGTTGCTTTGCCTGAAGGAGAAATATGTCACATACCTTCTGAGTATAAATAGTGAGCGACTCTGATAGCTATGAGCATTTTACATATAAGCATTTTTTTCACAGAACTTTACATGGCATTTCTCTTGCTCCCAAATTCTTTTTGGATATGTGAGTCAATTACAATCACATTTGACTGAGGGATACAAGGGTTCCGGACCTACAAGATATGACCTTGTGCAATTCAAAGCTATTGAATTGTTGTAATTAGTGATTTGCTACTTATTTTCTTTTTAAAAATGTACACAATTTTAGTTTCAGATTCTTCCAAACCTGAAAATATTAGGCGCCCAGACCTGTCCATGCTCCATTCAGGAAAAAGAAACTAAATATATTTCAGAAAATTATAATTACTACATTTGCCATAGTAATTAAAAATGTGATTTTTTTATCCTACCTGGGCAAGAGTACTTGAGTTGTTCAAGGGTCACCTTGAGCCCAGCATGTCTGGAAAGGACAACTGTCCACAATTATCACTATCTTTGCTTCTAGAGTTATTTTCCCCTAATTTCCTCTGTCTATGAAGATGCTTCACTTAGAAATACAATTTTCAAACTTTTCCTTATCAAATCTGATAACAAGTGGTATTCTGAATACTTGGCACCAAAATACCATCTAAACTTACTGATAACATTCAGCTAATCTTTGAGCTGCCTACAGCTCTGCTTACCTTTGAAAAGCCCCTCTAAAATAGAAATAACTATTTGGTGGAGTCAGCTGTTCCTGAACAGCAAAGTCCATGGTTTAGTTGTCATAACCTTCTGTAGTGTTGCCTGTTCGAACCTTTTCAGCACCGAACAGCAGAAGTTCTGCCTCTGGTTTTCACCTTCCTGGAACTAGTAAAAGACCTCACCTAGACTCCCCTGGGAGAAGTCCATTTGTAGGGAAAGACAGAAGTCTACAGGGTGACTTCATGCGGCCACTTAGTAGGCACCATTCTCTA